CCGAAACAGCAGTTCTTACACTTTTTCCACAGATGGCTTGAAAATTGCAGATGTTGGTGGACTGCATCATTTTTATTACAAGAAATATATTTTATTTCTGAATTAACTATAAGGAAAAATAAAATAACTATTACTTTTTTCTGCACCAGCCTCCTCCTCAAAAGCAACCTGGGTATCTGTGGGGGAGGGGGACCAAATGATAAAAGATGTGTGAGACATCATATGTTGTGACTTATATCCTTGCATCAGATGTTGGGAAACAAGTATGTAAATGGAAGCATTTGCATGAGAGCACCCGCGTCCATGTGTTGTCATTTTGGCATTGTGACTTGCCGAAAATACTGCTGAAAAGCAACACATTATTATTCGGAGTGGAAATTAGTATCATGTTTTTAAAAAATCACAAGCTCTTGTTAGTCTCATTAATAATCTAGGCTTGACAGAAATTGTCTTGATCTCCATCTGAGGACCAAGTAAGATACTTTGTTACTGCTCTATAACCTTTTTATGGATCATCTAAATAGAGCTTGTTGTCTTCCAATAGCCTGTGGATCACTGTGGATCTCCTATCTAGACTGCTTTTGACAATATATTTGCATAGACAATCATTTTGCTTTTAGTTTCTGAAATCTTCCTGGCACGTTTTAGGGCTTGACTTGTCTCCTGTAGTCCTCTCAGAAGTTTTACATTGGAATGTTTGCATGTGAACCTTTTACTTGTTAGGTCTGCATGATTAGTCTCATCTTTTGTGGGGAAGAATCCCAAGATAGTTTGGACATTACTATGCTGTTAAGACTCTTACATAGTGTAAGCTTTAAAAAGTTTTAATAATGTAAAACTGCAAATTTTTTGCAGGGTATTAGATTTTTGGCTTCCTTGCATTATTCAAGAAGCTATCTTTGAAGACATTGGAAAATCAGTTAACCCAAAACCCAGAGATGTTAATTTTCTAACTGGATCCCATGGTGTTAGTACTTCTGCAGTTGTATTATCTCAAATCCCTGTTGATTTTGACCAGTAATATCTAAATTAATCCTTCTTCCCATATCAGCCTGTCGGGTTCTTTAAAACATTCTCCAAAGAGGTTGATAGCTATTAAAAAAATTACATACCCATCTCATTACTTGTGCCCACTTATAAAAGGTGCTACAAAGAAACTCACTCAACTGCCACATTCTTATCTTTGATGTCAGGCAAAGACATGCCTGACAACCTTCTCTACTGAGGTGTTTAGAATTTCAGTCTTAGAATAGCTGTTTTAAATTTCTCCTTTGTTGATCCATGATATTGTTGAATATATTATGTATCTGCTCAGAGAAGATATTGGAGCGACTCAAAAATATAAAGAAATAAGAAAATAAATATATATTCCAGGCTTCCCTGGAGTTCTTCAAAGAGAAAACTCAATAATACTGAAAAGTTTTGAGCAAAGGTTGTGCGCTTCCCTACTTTATTTGTTCCTGCAATATACAGTGCATCAGTGTGCTCCTTAAAAGCTCTTACAGAATCCTCAGCACCATAGAGTGGATCACTGATAGAGAAGTAATGGGACAATAAAACATATCTCTAATATAGAGGGAAATTTGGAAAACTAACAAATAGGAACACTTCTATAGATTATCACAATTGTTCTAATCATAGATGAACTTCTCTTGGTTTGTTTCAGCATGGAACCTGGAAACCATTGTACTTGGGATCCTCTAGAGAAGCGTTTCTCAACCTTGGCAGCTTTCAGATGTGTGGACTCCAACTCCCAGAATTCCCCAGCCAGCCTGAAAGCTGCCAAGGTGGGAATTCTGGGAGTTGGAGTCCACACATCTGAAAGCTGCCAAGGTTGAGAAACACTGCTTTGATTGCCAATCAAAGTAGAGAGAGTTGCTGCTAGAAAGACAAGTGGCCTAACCTGATAAAATGCAGCTTCTGTTTTGTTTCTCAGTCTGCTAGAACTACACCTTTCCTTGGAAACAGCATTCTGAAATCTGTAGGCACACATGTCTAATCCCATGGCAGATCACACCACTTTCTGATTCAAAATTGTGTAGTGAGTAGTGTGAGTCCTTTCATAGGAACAAAAAATAATTCTCCATTAAGCATTCGTATGCCACTTTGGTTGCCAGGGAACATCATGCTGTGTTAGTAGGGCAGCCTTTCACTGCTGTTAAGAAGACATTGCTCCTCGTTTAAGTATAGTTTTTCCCCCATTTATTTATAAACTATCCTATAATTCATTTCCAGACCTAGGTGTATTTTCTGACTCTTGTGTTGGATGAAACAGCTTAAACAATTTACATCCATGCCAGATTTATATGCATAGCAGTTATTACTTTGATTTTTCTCCCCCTTATTACTTGGGTTGAATAGGTGAGGTTGTTGTGAAATACTGAAATATTGTAATCCTGGTTGGGTTTAGTTAACTAGTTTGGAGTTAAATTAACTCCTCCCAGCAGTATCATCCAAGTTCTAGATTGCCCTGCAAAAATGGGGCCTCTCTGGGCACTCAGTTTGTATCATCCTTATGCATGGTTGTAAAGAGGTGAGAAGGGACAGAAAAACATTAATGGGTTAGGTGCATGAAGACTATGTCTGAAGGGACACCAATCTGAATTGTACTACTTCAGATGTTATTCTAACTCTTTAATTTTTTTTTTTAATTCCGGCACCAAAAAATCATAAAAATACCAGAAAGTGAAAAGTAGACAAGAAAGTGACAGCTGCCCAGCCTCCAAAGTACTAAAAACATAGCCCCTGGATGACTGACTAAGACATTCCAGATTGTGTGTTGCTGGTGCATGGGGGTGAAATAAATAAGTAAGAGAGGGGTTTGTCTCAGTCAGTTGTGTGAGGTAGTGGTTACTTTTCTATTTCTCAGAATACTCAAAGCAGTGTTCAAATACTACTTAAAGGAAGCATTGTATCTGACAGCTATAAATATCATATTATAAAATCAGAGAGAAATAGAGACTCGCATTGTTTTAAAATAACAGGCCCATTTACCAAACATAATAGATGTGAACAACTAGAATCTATGCCCTTGATTTTAGAAAGTTGCAGCCATGGGATAGCCTTAGTAGCATCATTTGCCACCAGACTAGAATGGATATGAATATCGTTACAAGATAAAACAGCAGGTGACAGTTGGTGATTCAGGAGGGATGACCGGACTCTTACTATGTCCATAGTGAATATTTTAGGCAACGGAGTTCTCCACCCCATCCTGATATTTTTCATGCAACTCACATAATCCATTATCATTGACCATGCTGGCTATGACTATTGGGAGACATAGCTTAAAGATTTGGAGGACATTAGAATCACTGTCCCTTTTATGTCTATGTGTATATAATTAGACTTGGTGCTTTGCAATTATCTGAAATCACACCAGGCACAGCAATAAATCAAGGTTTTCCATAATTAATAACTAGCTAACAAAATATCTTCCTGAGGGTTTAAATCCTAGGCCTTTTCTTTCCATCCTTTCAAGTTTGGGCATTTTTTCCTGGTCTTGAGAATCAGAGATATTTGTTCCATATTTATATAATGATTCTACCTTAGTCTGAGAATCATTGGTTCTCAGCTCATCAACTTCAGCCCTTAACACCAATATGTCAGATGTAAGGTTGAGATACAAGAAGTCACCTGAGTATTATTTTCTTCTGTGATTACTCATCTTTATCTGGAACTGTTAGGCTCAAATCCATTACAAATGTATTTGTTAGATGTTTATCCTGCCTTTCCTCCAAGAGCTCAAGAATTATGAGTAACACTCCATCCTCCAGTTTGATAGTAATATTTACTGACTTTGCTACCATATTCACAATTATTTGTCCTGTTTTAAAAGGCCACACTTGTTAATAAGTAATTGCGTATTGATTGTTAACATATACAGTGACTGGGCTGATGTCTGTGCAGCAGACCAGCAAGAACAACCCCCAGCTGCCTCTGAAACCCATCCAGGTCCATCAGTTGCTGGGGGTGGGCCAGTCTAACACATCCAGCCTCCCTGCAGTGGGTAGTGGTGCCAGAGAATCCCATGGTGATCAGGGCATGATCTGACCATGACAAAGGAGACATTGAGAGCTCCCCCAACTTCAGATCACATAGCCACTGCTCCAACAGGAACCCCAGATCAGGGGTGTGAATTTGCCTTTTTGTAAATGGGCAAGCCTTCCAAGCCAGTCACATTCTTCTATTGTCCATGCATTCGTTCAAAATGTCCAATTTGTAATTTCTGAGAGCCAGATCTTCCCAGGGAAGAGATGTCAATTTCATAAACATCCAGCCGTTGCCCATTTCAAGGCCAAACCATGCAGGGCAAAAAGTCTGTTGGGAAGGAAGTTGGATAAATAAGCACTGGAATTAAACTATGGTGGGTATAAGAAGGGACTAAGCTTTCATGTGACTGAGGAAAGTCAGTTGTTTTAAGAGGCTCCATCATACTATGCAATAAAGATTCTTATTTAATTGTGCCATGTCTTGAGTCTGAGCCACACCAGAATTTAAGCCTTATCATAACAGGCCAAGCCAAGTCAAATGTCTAGGAACTACTATTGAGTTTTGTATGGCTGCCCAACTCAAACCCTGTGACCCTGGGCAGTGTACAAAAGACAAACATCCAGAAAAAAATAATTCAAAATAACACAAAAAAACATACAAAGCAATAAAAGCAATCTTACTGGACATATATCTCTAAGCTGTTCTTGCCAATGACCATGACAATATACACCCACTGACTCAAAAAGATTGTAGACCCTAACCTACAATATTCAAAGTAGTAACAAGTTGACAGATATCCTTCTGCACTTGAAGCCCTTGCTTATCATAATTTCCCATTAGGACAAAGCAATAGTTGTAATGCACATTGCAACTGCACCATCATAATGTTGGTGAAATTGTGGTTTACATCACAGGAATTACATCTGGTGAAAGAATAAGCCTACATAGGTATCCATGGGATGAGCTTTCTAATTCAGCTTTTTATGTAAATATTTTTATTTTATTAGGTTGTACTGATTAGTGGACATCTGGACAGCTGGGATGTGGGGCAGGGAGCCATGGATGATGGTGGAGGAGCATTTATATCATGGGAAGCATTATCACTTATTAAGGAACTTGGTAAGTATCTGTATAAAAAGTATAACAATCTAACATTTATGGGGTTATCTTGCTTCTTCGACTTCCTTAACTTTATCCCTTGCCATTCCCAATACATTTTTCCAATGTTTCCTTATGGTAGTAGCTGTTTCTTTAGGAACTGTAGTGTTTTTAATTTTCAAACATAGCACTTTATTATTTGTTATATCTGTGATTTAGCAGAAACCAAAGCATCTGTGTGCATTGAAAGTCCCAATAAAAACAGTTCTGACAGTAGTGCCATTTTATTTGTTGAAATAATTTAAAAGCCACATCCTATGTGTTTGTAATCTTTTTTCTAATGCCTGGTCCATGGCAACACAACTTGTAACACCATTGTGGCCCATAAGATTAGTTCCTGCGTGTAAAAGACGAATCTCTGACCGTTTATTAACTGCCATGTTTGCATCCTACCTTTTCTCAAAGTAGTTTGACTAGCCAGGTTTGGATGATAGATTAGGCTATGGATAAGCAGCATAACACTCATTATATGAGTGGGACTATAGAGGCCCTAATACCATAATAGCTCATGTCCATAACATTCGCAAACCTATTCCTGCTCTAAGAGACAATGAGTATCAAATGAATATTAACAATTTCATGCAAAAAGTGAAAAGTTGTGTCACTGTAATTCGATTGTTTGGTAGTGAATTTCAGCAGTGCAATCCAGAGGGCGAAGTCTGGGAACAAAATGTAGTCACATGGGTCACAGGTTGCCAATGCAGGTGTTAAAATATAGTTATTACAAATTGGATCAGACTACCTCTATTCCCTGCAATGTGATCACAAAAACTGCTGTGGTTAAACAGCAATTAAGGAATGAAATCTTTGGAGTTCACTCACAAAGTCCTCACCAGAATGAATGGTTCTAGTTAGTATGATCCCATAAGCAGGAAACTATTTCAGCACATACACAAAATGACTTGAGGGTATATTCTCATACTGAATCCCTCTGGCTATAAGCTCAGGGGTTAGATTAATGGCCATTCAAAATGAAACGTGACTGCTGGAGTATGAATCTGAATATATCTGGAGCATTAAGTATGAATCCTAGATGGAGCCTGACATATGAATTCAGTGACTATCCAAAGTAGTTTTTCATAGTACAAGAGCACAATTCAATTTTATTTGTTAATGGTTCTAGTTCTACATCCTTTCCCTCCCATTTTTCTCCAATCAGCCTAGAGGTATATGTCAAATAAGATTATACTGCTCCTTTATTAATTTTTCATTAGTTACAGTGTTAGAAATATTGCTACAGAAGATGAAGAGTGGGTGTTTAAAAACAGCAATATACCAACAAACAAATACCATTAATGCTCAAAATTTCTAAAAATCTATATTTGAACTAAGCATTGTGTTTTTAACATGCATAATATATAATGTGCCTTTCATGCTATGGCCAAATTAATAATCTATACTATTAAAACTCTCATGTCTGTAACCTTCAACTGGGTGAAACGGTGCATCATAGGGCAACAATTTTTGAACCAAGGTACCTCAGATGGACTAACTTACAGAATGCGTCCAAAATCCAGGACCCATGACTCCCATGGGATTGAAATTTGGGGAATGTGTGGTTGCTTCAGGAAGGAAGGGAGGAAGGAAGAG